ACGTTATCCGGCGAGAATAAGATTGTTAAAGAAAATTGGAAGACTAGAAATCGACAATGACTCGAGCATGCTTCCCTATCGAGATACGAAAAGTTAGGATGGAGATCAAGGGGTTGGGTAAACGTACTAACAAAGGAGTGAGAGACGGTTCATAACTAAAATCACAAAGTTCCTGTTGCTTCTAACACTAACCATTGGCATAGCATTAGTGCAATTTAATGAATTCTTACCTCATACAGAGTGGACAAATGGTGATGGCTGGAGCAGAACGCGTCAATGAATGAGCGAGGGTCTTGGCGAGTAACTTAGAAATCTAGGAAGTCAGACCCAATCCCTTTCCATCACAGTCATTGACACTATTCCGCTATCCTTTAGCTTCTTCCTATCACAAATAACGAGGCTCAGGAGAAAGTCGACATCTGCAACTCAGAGGTTTCATTCTTTGAATGATACACCAATCAGCATCAAGTTTTGCCAGATGTATTTATGACTCTAAAATGAGTAACTTTACTGACACATGATTTATTGTTTTAAACTCAACCAATCTGTTTGCAACGGGACTTGTTGCAACTAGCTGCCATTGAATTGACGAAGAACACGGCACGTATTTGTAATGCCAGGCGTATTACAGGAAAGGCGGAAGTCGTGCTTATGTGGCGCTGGTGGCGAAGCCAGCAAATCAATTGGCTACTCCGAGAAAAAGCGCCACCATTTCATTTACGCCAAGTTTAAACCTGATCAGATGAAAGCACATGAAATTAAGTCTTACTGAAGGTTGGAGTTGAAAAGATTATTGATGCTGAGAGATGGTTATTCTTCCTTTTAGGCCCATCATCAACACCAGCGAGATCCGGTATGGATAATGGGGTTTTCGTAAGTGAAGTCTATCGACGGAGCGCCAGTAGCGGTCGAGGGAGTAGTGAGGATAGCAGTGCCACCGGTGGGAGCGGTTTTGGTGGCGTTGGTGTTGGTGGTGGTAGCACTGAGGAGTGCCTCTTTAAACAGCCCCTCTGTCAGCCGCTGCCCAATGGGTGCGCTCTAGATCGACCGGTATGTTCCATTCTCTGTCCACTCTACACGATTTTAAAACTGTACCGCACATCTTCATGTCATCCAACAAGGTTTCCACGTCATTCATTTCTTGTTTACTCGTTCTGGGGTAGAACAAATTTTTATTTACTGATCTCCAATGGGTGTTTTAATGCTCCATTCTCGGCATTGCATCTTCGCTTAGCTCTTGATTGGGGCACGATTTGCATTTTCTCTAACTCTAAGAGTTATTAGCATCTTTTACTAATCAATTTCTTTC